GAGATCAGAGCCAACCAGTATTGCCATAGCAGCCCCTGGGGCTGAGAAACGTCCCACATTGAACTCACCCACCCTCTCTCTATAGAAACCGTCACACATCTGGTTCTGCCATATTTGTCTCGGAGACAGAGATCCTTCCACAGACCTTTGGAATCTTTCATTTAAATCACAGTGGCAGTGTGAGGTCATAGTCTAAAACCACCACGCAGTCTTCTGGAGGGATAATTTTTCTCAACATCTGCTCTGCTGAGTTTGCTTTTGGTTAAGTCTGGTGGCTTTGCCCATGGGTTATATGAAACTCTTGACATAGCCTTGCAACCCCAGCAAACTCTCAGAATACAATTAGTAAATAAACTCCATTGTGATTTAAGGGAAAGCCACTCCCTTTCCTATTTAGCCTTCACACTGAAATAGTAAATGATACTGTGGGAACACTGAAGCATATCCAGAATCAACAAAAGGCAGGATTGCCTTTCCTGAGCCTCCTCTGCCCTCTGAGATTAGAATTTGGGGAGGATGCATTCAAAAATGATTTTTTTCCAGTAATGACAACATTCAGTACCACATAAGAAATGAAATTGAAGCATTGATCTTATTCTTCAAATATAGGATAGCTTCAATATTAAAATTAACATACAAATTTAGCATCCATCTTATTTTCGACTCACTTCTGCTGAGTAAATACACATATAAAGAATGAATCACTGAAACAGTATGCAGTGAAATAAAGTTCATTTTTCAAATGTGTCAGATCAAATGCAGTCAAAGCCTGTTTTCTGGGCACCTAACAAACGTTCCCAAGATGCTCCTTCTCCCACCACCTCCCACCCGCTCTATCCTTAGGGCAAGCTAGGGACCTCAGGAGATGAGTCCTTAAAGAGCAAGTCTGGTAATACAGGACTGCTACACCTCTCACCTCCTTCTCTAGTCCTATTTCTTTGTATAAATTTGAAATGTTCTTACTCTTATGAGCCTGTTGACCAACTTAACAGCCTGTACTAGTGGTCCAGAATCACTTCCCCTTTTCCCTGGTACCTGTTGCCTCCCCAGGTTGCCCTACCATTAATTTCAACCACATCCATGTACCTAACAAATGTCTTGCTTCTCAATTCATCTATAAAACTACTTCCTCCCACCCCTATCATCAGGAATGTTGCTTTTTCTTTTCTCTTTTTTTTTTTTTTGAGGTGGAGCTTCACTCTTGTCACCCAGGCTAAAGTGCAATGGCACAATCTCAGCTCACTGCAGCCTCTGCTTCCTGGGTTCAGGTGATTCTCCTGCCTCAGCCTCCCAAGTAGCTGGGATAACAGGCATCCACTACAATGCCTGGCTAATTTTTTGTATTTTTAGTAGGGAAGGGGTTTCACCATGTTGGCCAGGGTGTTCTTGAACTCCTGACCTCAGGTGATCCACCCACCTCGGCCTCCCAAAGTGTTAGGATTACAGGCGTGAGCCACCACGCCCAGCTGAATGTTGCTATTTCTTAAAGCTCAACTCTGGAGGGCAAAACCTATTCCCAGATGTCACTAGTAAACTGGAAATCATGGAACAACCGGAAGGATCGGCAGTGCCAAAAATTCTGGCCCTCCCCTTGGGAGAAAGAATAGCACATTTAAGTTCTTATCAGGTCCTTCACCAACCAGATTTCCAGAAACAAGCAAGTCTCATCCCAAATGTATGCTCAATCTAATAATTGACATTAACGCCAACATTGTTTAAACTAGATCTAGGGTATGTATTAAGACTGTTTTCATGTTGATGTTTACCCTTGTCCTAGAAAAGTAGGTAGGAACGAGAGAGAGAGAGAGAGAGAGGATTTAACATCTCAGGATAAAAGTTTATAGCCTTCAGCCCTTTTACGTGGCGTAGATCTAAAAAGAAAACCCAAGGAAGTGATGAATAGAGAGGTCATTCTCACATCTTAGTGAGTATACAAGTTACCTGGAATGGATAAAAATGTACTGCTTATGCTACCAGGGATTCTGACTCAACAAGTCAGGCCCAGGAATCTACACCAGAAATTAAGCATCTGGGCACGTGGACCATACACTTTGACATGAATGCTCTAGAACATGACTAACCCACCCACACTCAGCATCTTAGACAAAGCATTGACACCAACACTAGGAGTGGGCAGACCAGAAGAGAGAGGCACTGTGTTTCATGTGGATTAACTTTCTCTAAGACTGGATTGACATACAAGTCAAACATCAGTTGATGAAAACAAAGTGTACAGCCGAACCCAGCCCCCAGATGTGCTGCCTGTGTGACAGAGGGTTGGTTTTTTCTCTTCATCCACATGTTCAGTTTTGTGTAAAAGAATAACAGATGAGTATTCATTTCCCTTGAATTCTACATGCTGTGTGTAGCAGGATAGTCTCTGAGAGCTGAGTTAGAATCTAGCCTCTTTAACCAGAGGGGGCTCAGAAATGGAGACTCAGAGGGAGTAAAACTGAATGCTGGGAGAACATAGGATCTTAATACCCAATTTCTCACTTCTGATGCCTGACCACACTTACCCCACTGAAGAAAACATTTCTTTCTTCAGTTTTTTTTTTTTTTTTTCCTGAGATGGAGTCTCACTCTGTTGCCCAGGCTGGAGTTAAGTGGCACAACCTTGGCTCACTGCAACCTTCACCTCCTGGGTTCAAGCGATTCTCCTGCCTCGGCCTCCTGAGTAGCTAGGACTACAGGCATTCGCCACCACGCCCGGCTCATTTTTGTATTTTTAGTAGAGTTGGGGTTTTACCATGTTGGCCAGGCTGGTCTTGATCTCCTGACCTCAGGTGATCCACCTGCCTCAGTCTTCCAAAGTGTTGGGGTTGCAAGCATGAGCCACCACACCCAGCCTCTTTCTTCCAATTATATTAAGGATCAAACATACCTGCACTAACTAGCCCACAAATAAACTGCTTTACAGATAGCTCCATTTTGCTGGCCATCATAAAGAGGCCAATGAAAATGATTTACAGGAAAAATCAAGCTGTAAGGACGCTGTATCAGTGAGGTTTTGCTTAGTTCGGGTGGTTCAACTTGAAGAAGTAATGGCTGCGGACAGGCTTTGTAGCATCTTGGCTTAGGTGCTGTAGTACATGATCATTATTGCTTGCTAAATGTGAGTAAACTTTTGGAATGAAGATGCCTTTAAAATACATTTGTCCTAGGTAGGTCCAGACATTAGCACTTGGTTGCCACATGCAATGTCCTGGACATATCTTTAGAATCAGGGGGCAAACTGCTCTCCCCCTCCCCATTCCCCTTCCTTCTTCCTTATGTAAACATTAATGTTTAAATAGAACCCCAACAACAAACCATATTTCCTTTTTTTTTTTTTTTTTTTTTTTTTTAAAAAGTTTTGTTTTTTTTTTTTTTTTTTTTTTTTTTCAGACCACCCCTGGCTCTATCCCCTAGGCTAGAGTACAGTGGTGCAATCTCTGCTCACTGCAACTTCTGCCTCCCCAGCTCAAGCCATCCTCCCACCTCAGCTTCCCAAGTAGCTGGGAATACAGGTGCATGCCATCATGCCTGGCTAATTTTTGTATTTTTTGTAGAAACAGGCTTTTACCATGTTGCCCAAGCTGGTGGCAAACTCGTGAGCTAAAGTGATCCACCTCCCAAAGTGATGGGATTACAGGCAAGAGCCATCATGCCTGGCCCATATTTACTTTTAAACACTCTAGTATGTAACTATGTCAATTAAATACATATTAGTCCAACTAACACAAGGAATTTTTCCCCTCAAAGGTTTTTCATGCCAAACGTGCCCAATGGAAATAAAAATGAGAAGGCTCTTTCATTTTAAGTATCTTCCTTCCCCTGGGAACCCATTCAAAGGCGGGGAGCATTTCAGGCTGACTTGCCCTTCTCCTTCCCAGGACTGAAGAACCTTTTAAGACTTACTCCTGCACTGGGAGCTCTCTCTGCATCCTTGTCATGTAGCGGTTTTTATTTATTTGCTTACTTACTTTCCCTTCCACATTCATAAGTTTATTGTCTGACCTAAGCAGTCATCTTACCTTTCAAGCACTTTGAAAAATGGAAACAGTAAGTCAGAGAAGTGGTTGGTGTGAACACCACTGAATATTACTGTTTGAAAATTCTCTAAAAAAAAAACGTGAGCAAGAAGTTTGTCATATACAGTACCCCAAGAATGTTTTTAAAATGAAAGAAAAAAACCCTGGTTTTCAATGTTTTGCCTCAAAACAGAATGTCATGGTCTCTAAGTAAGAATGAAGGGGCCAGGTGCAATGGCTCATGCCCATAATCCCAGCGCTTTGGGAGGCCAAGGTGGGTGGATCTCACCTGAGGTCGAGAGTTTGAGACAATGTGCCCAACATGGAGAAACCCCATCTCTACTAAAAAAAAAAAAATTGGCTGTGCATGGTGGCGCATGCCTGTAATCCCAGCTACTCGGGGGGCTGAGGCATGAGAATTGCTTGAATCTGGGAGGCAGAGGTTGCAGTGAGGTAACACAGCCAGACTCCATCTTAAAAAAAAAAAAAAAAAGGAATGAAGGAATGCATGTCTATATTCTGAACGCAAAGCTATGAATTTAACTAACAGAAGCAATAGTTTTCATGGACTGCATACTTCCTACGTCAGGAACTGGGCTATGCGCTTTCCTTGCTTCCCACACTCAACTGTACATTGTTGGGAGTTTTCCATTTTTACTCTGTTTTTAATGGGATTCTCCACTAAAATACCTGCTTATCTTGGACTCATAGGTAGGTAACTTGGATGATACATAGAAAGCACATTCTCTTAAACATAGTAGGCACTCAGTAAGTATGTGTTGAAGAGAATACAGGGAATTAACTCCATTCTTGAACAAATTATCTGTGTTTCTGAATGCAGCCCTAAAACTTTGCCATTGATATTTCTCAGGAACGCCTCGTTTAACTGATACTTTGATTCCTAATCCATGCATCAGTAAGTCGTTTTTACATCGTTTCTATTTTTAGAGATCCTCTTTCTACAAGTAGAAATGACATAAACCAAGCTCATCTCCTTATTTATTTTTTTTCTAGAGTCCTTAGCATGCTATATTAACCCGACAAAGCTTAATCTTGTGTTCGTTTCACAATACATTTCATGCAGTTCACAGCTGTGATTGGTTTTACATTGACATTACACATATTTCGATTCAGCCATGTGAAAGGAGTAATTCTTAATGGAGTTTGTCTCTGAAAACTGTCCAAGCCTAAATAAGCATATGAGGCAGTTCACTCTATTCTTAAGTGCATCTCTCTTTAAAATGCAAGGATTTTTAGCATAAGAATATAATGTCCCTGTTTATAGTCCATTTGCAACCGAACCACTTCCTTTAGGTTTCACATATCCTGAGGAATCCACTTTTACAAAATTGCATTCAAGTATATAATTTCATTTAACATTCCAGGTTGGGTTTAGGTGCAAGGCTGACCTTCAGCTTTACATCCCCAAATAAATGTTCCATGGACCCAGCCTTCCCAAGACTATTCTTAACATTAGACTCTCTTTTACAATAAACATTCAGCACTAAAGCCACAGAGCAGAGCTATTTGGCATTTTCCAGTGAAGTGCAAGAAGTTAAATAAGTTATGTTTTTATTGCTAATGTATAGAATCAAGCACAGTCACTTTGTCAAACAGAAGGAAAGGACATACACAAGATGTGGCCTCTCCTCAGATGCCTCAGGGTCAAAATGCACAGAAAACGTCACCTGGCCGCCACCCATCCAGCACCACTTTAAGATGATGTGTTGAGTATTCTCGAGTCCGAGGAGTCAGACCTCTCGTCATAGTCGTCCTCGGTGTACATGGACTGCTTTGACACAATTGGACACCCATCATCAGGGATGGAAATCCGAGGGTCTTCAGTGGCACGGGCAGGAAGGACTGGTGAGCTTCTGAAGACGCTGGTAGTGTTACTGGGGAAAGGACTAACATACTGGGACCTCAACTGATACTGCTGCTGCAGCGTCATGGTGTTCCACAGGGTGACATCATTGGGCAAAAAGGGGCTCGACTGGTTTCTCGCCAAAGTATTCCTCAGCATCAGCGGGTACCGGGGTGGCTGGGGGAAAGGGTGCTGCAGAGGCACGGCCAAGGGATTGGGGACAACATTACTAGAGTCGGCAGAAAACCTCAACGTGTCTGGGACTCGAAAGGCTGATCCCACAGACCATTTGGAAGACGAGATGGGGTAGGAGCTCAAGGTGTGTTCAAAGATGTGCCCATTGGAGGGCAACACTAGACTCTCGGGTTCTGCGGAAGTTCGCTCTGCTCCCGTGACTGAGGATCGGCTGGAGAGCAGGACTTCCACGGCACTCACCAAGTCCCCGCCACAGCCCTTGAGGATGAGCTCAAGCACTGTTGGCTTCTGATTGGGGAATATCTTTTTTAACACTTCGAGTGGTGGTCTGTTGGCTTTCAAGCTGAAGGGCAGAGAAACAGTCCCCGAGGGGCCCTCAATCAGGAGGTGATTCTGCTCCGCGTGGTACTTGGGGCTGTCAGGGTGGCTCTCAGGGTTGCCTCCATTTTTCTGGACAGCATACCCCCCTTCATCCACAGACACTATCTCAGGGCTCTCAGGGGTGAAGCAGCCCTTATTCTTTGTCACATCTGGGGAACTCCTCTGGTCAGTGTCTTTGTCGCTGAAGACCTCTGTATTGTCTGCTGAGCTGCCATCTCCAAGTCGTTCTTCAGCCAAATCTGAAAAACAGAACAGCTGAGTTAATCTTTTCCTGGTGTGCATAAAGAGGAACAGATGTGATCAGAAGAGCCTGTACACGTGCTTTTTGGAAGAGCAAATGCATCCCAGTGGGTCATAATATACTACAAGCCTTTTTAAAAAAATTTGAACTATGTCACTGGCAAATGAAAAGAAAAAAAAAACCTCTAAATAAAGGGCTAGAAATCAGAGTGACTTCTTAGAATGCTTTGGGCAAGGAAGCTTGTCTTCATCATGGAACGGCTACATGAACCTATAACCACGGAAGATATGGTTTTCATAGCAGTGACAATCTCAATTAGGAGTGTCTGTGGGACCGCGGGAAACTCCTGGAAGAGCAAAGCTCTGGGAGAAACAGGAAAATGAGCTCAGCTTGTCCTCCAGCTCTTCTTCTGCAAATGAGGTCCCCAGCTGTAATCTAGGGACAGCACCATCCAGATAACCACAGGGAATTTTAATATTTTAAATCTACTTCCCATAGGCTGATTTTGTGTTAAATATGTCTTATGAACCAATCAGTGTGTTTCATCAGGTTACCATGTACAATAGCGAGCTAATTCAATTGCTAAGTGAAAGATAACTCTATCCATTGAAATCTTTCGTAAGAAGCCACTTGAGGGACTGGCAAACTTGGTTGCCAATAACTTGAGCTAGACAGCAAACAAAACCAGCTCTGAATTCTGGATGGCAGGATAAGTTGCTGGAGAGGAAAAAGGAAGTGGCTAGAAAGGGCTAGAAACTGCACGGGAGCATTATCCATCAATGAAACAATGCATCATCACGATCCACAGCCACAGCTGGCATGAGGCAGATACGTGTCCCTGAACGGTTTTGTTGGTAAAGTTCATGGAAAAGACTTGAAGATGCCTTTTTTTTTAAGCCAGTGAAATTTGAAGATACCATTTTGTATTATATGAAAAGAAGAAGAAGGGAAAAAAGCTTCCCAAATAAAGCAGATACCTGCTATAAAGTAAACCAGTTGCAAATTTAACATGTTGACCTAAGAATATTTTTACCTAATGTCTGGTAATATTGCAGGGCTCAGCACACAGAAAAGAGTAAGTCAGAAGGGTTTGCTTTGCAGTAGTAAATTCTAACAGGCCTTTATAATAAAGAAACATATTTTGTAGAAGCAAGCTATATGCAAATCGAGTTTTATCCTTTTTTTTGAGGCACAGTCTTACTCTGTCACCAGGCTGGAGTACAGTGATGCGATCTGGGCTCACTGAAACCTCAGACTCCTGGGTTCAAGCAATTCTCCTGTCTCAGCCTCCTGAGTAGCTGGGACTATAGGTGCACACCACTACACCCAGCTAATTTTTGCATTTTTAGTAGAGACAGGGTTTCACCATGTTGGCCAGGATAGTCTCAATCTCTTGACCTCATGATTCGCCCACCTCGGCCTCCCAAAGTGCTGGCATTACAGGCATGAGTCACTGTGCCCAGCCGAGTTTTATCCTTTTTTGAAACATGCACTGGCTGTGGCTACTCAAAGCCAGGGTAACTGATCGAAAGATGAAAATTCGTTTTTTTTTTTTTTTTTTTTGAGAAAGAGTTTCACTCTTGTTGCTCAGGCTGAAGTACAATGGCACGATCTAAGCTGACCGCAACTTCCGCCTCCCAGGTTCAAGCAATTCTCCTGCCTCAGCCTTCTGAGTAGCTGGGATTACAGGCATGCATCACCATGTCCGGCTAGTTTTGTATTTTTAGTAGAGACAGGGTTTCTCCATGTTGATCAGGCTGGTCTCAAACTCCCGACCTCTGGTGAGCTAGCAGCCTCGGCCTCCCAAAGTGCTGGGATTACAGGCGTCAGCCATTGTGCAAGCCCAAAAGATGAAAATTATTAATGACCTGGTTGTTGGGTTGTAAACAATTGCTTTGCCTGTGTTTGCTGCTGCCCTACCTGAATGGCCTCATTGTTGCCTTTTTTGTGAGCACACCTGTTTATGTACAGATAGCCAGCTGGTGAAATTTCATCAAAGCAGCTTCTAGAAGCCATCTTCTCCTACACTTGTTGTTTATTTTAAAAGTCTTAAAGGCCCACTTATGAACATTCTTCTAATACAGGATATATCTAAGTGTAACCAAAAAACAAAACTTTGGTCCTTCATAAAGCAATAAATATGTGGCAAACATAAGTAAATAATTTTAAAACATTCTTAAATTACCTCAGTGCAAGTGTCAACATAAATTTGATAGGAATTCATACTTATACCAAATTTGCATTTTAATTAAACTGCTTCTTTTTTCTTTTTTTTTAACTGCTTCTTTTTTAATACAAAATGTAAGATTTCTAATGAGAGGTTCATTTGCAGCACATACATAAGAAGCCATCTTCACTTTATATAATGACTCTGTGACAAAGACTCTATTGTAGAATGACTATTTTTGTAAGAGAAATTTGACATATTCTCTCCTATGACTTCTTAGGGTGGGAGACCCAGCTTTTATCTCTTGAGTATTTGAACTCATATAGCATTTGAACTCATGTCCTTGATCCAAAAGAGAAATATAGCAACAAAAAGGCTTCTATAGATTTACTTTATAATCAGCTAGATGTATTTAAATTTTCCTGACTCATGACCCCATACATACTTCTTGGCTGTTACTCTATTATTAAACATTTGAAAATTATTAAACAATTGAAAACACTTGATAATATATGTAAATATACTATCACTTTCGGAAATTGGAAAAACAAGTCAAATACTCTCCCCATATAAATACGGTATGGACATAAAGTACTTCTTTAAAGTACTATGTACTTCTAAAGAGTTTTCTTCTTTTTTTAACTTTAGCCTACATTACTATGATTAGCACCAAGTATTTATATTTCTGCAAGATACTGGGAGAAACAGAATAAAGGATGAAAAACACCAACAAGTGTAAGACTCACACCTAAATTATGGACTTTATCTTCTGGGGAAATAAGACGCACATGCAGGAGAAAAAGCAAACAGGGCCTTGCAGCATTTGCTAAGCCTCAAATATGACACACATTACATACCAATGTTCATAGCAGCAGCATTCACAATAGCCAAAAGGAGAAAAAAACCCAAATGTCCATCAATGCATGAATGTACAAAACATGGTACACACACACAACACACACACACACACACACACACACACACAGTGGGATATTATTCAGCCTCAAAAAGGAATGGAATTCTGATACATGCTATAACATGGACGAACATTGACTGCATTAGGCTAAGTGAAATACGCCAGACACAAAAAGACAAATACTGTATGACTCCACTTATATTCGATACCAAGAATGGGCAAATTCAGAGGGAAAGTAGAAAGGTGGTTGCCAAGGGCTGGGAGGAAAAGGGAATGGAGAGTTATTGTTTAATGGGTATGGAGTTTCTGTGTGGAATGATGAAAAGGTTCTGGAAATGGATGGTGGTGATGGCTACACAACATTTTGAATAAACTTAATGCCACTGAATTATACACCTAAATACGGTTAAAACTGTAAACTTTATATTATGTATACTTTACCACAATAAAAAAAGAAAAAATATGTCATACGGTGTCACAGTAACGAGGAGATAGTGAAGAGATTTTTTAAAGCAAGAGAAACAAATGGTCCTTCTTGGGAATAAAAGGTACATAAGCACAGCTGGAAAGCTTAAAGCTCAACTATTTTTAAAAGAAATGTGTGAACCAAATAGCTCTGTGTTTTAAAAGGTACCCCTGCCCCCGCTTTGGAAAAGTTTCAAACACTGAAAACATATTAGGAAATGTTTTTTGAGGTCTATCAACCAAATTGACTCTTCCACAGTACACTTCATGCTTCAGAAGAAAGTGGATCACACGGCAGAAGGCTAACTTAAAGGAGAATTACGGAATGAGGTTCCCAGTAACCTAATAAATCTACCATTATAAAAATGTAGTCTTTTTTTTTCCCAAGGTAGCAACAGATATACCATCCCAATCAACTGAATACAGGATTCAGCAGGATTACAGGATTACAACTCTGACAAAACACAATTCCACTTTGTACCTATTTTCCTATTTTCTTTGGAACAGATGGTAGTGGAATCTTATATCGATGCCAGCTTGTTTAGCAACTGTGAATTCTCAAACTGTGAAAGTCACTTTCTCATTTTGTTGTGTTACCCTTTGTCCTGCTACTGGGACATGCTAGTGCATCATGCACTTCTGGTTGCTTGTCAAGGAGTGGTGATGGATAGATTATGCTGAATCCTCCATACTCTCTCCGCAGGTTTCTGTGTTGATCACCCACTCCAACAGGGTATCTGGCTGTGCCCAAAATATGAGAAAAGCTAAAAGGATGTCTCAGGAATCAAATCTACAAATTCAGGGTATACCAACCAGCTGAGCTTAGCACTGTTTATACTGTGTTCAAAGGAAAGACAAAGATGACGAAAGAAGCAACAAGGAGAGCACACCTGTGAGGTTCATGCACCAGAGCCACACTAAAGTCCTGCTAAGGAGTGCTGGGTGAGTGGAATCTCCATCAACATCTAGGTTTTTGGAGCTTTAAAACCAGGCAAAGGAAGACTAGCCTCTAACTTCGCACCAAGAATAATTCACCAAACAACAATTTCTGAAGGGCAGAATATACAATCCCTGCAATTTTGTGGCACTATGGTGTCTAGTACTGGTTGTATTGTAAATTATTCTATTATAAATACAGACTTGCACAAGTAATTATAGAGGGTGAGTTTTGAGCCCAGTGATAAAGTATAATAACAGGTATTTCTTTACATCTCAAGACTATTTCCTAAATAAACTTTACAAATCATTCTAGTTGGTTTAAAACACAAAGGCTTTTTCAGACATAGAAATGTGAAACTCCCAACTAACAAAATAAAATAGGAAATAATCCTGAAACATTTTGCCTTCTTTCTTCTTGAAACTGAAACCCTAATTCCTAAGACATTAAGAGTGTATTTCAACTGATAATATTTTTGCCCCTGGTAGATGGGTGTAGAAAGTCAAAACTATT